GACATGATTTCTAAGACCTTCGGGTATAATTTTGATTCGCGGTGTTATCCCGATCGATTTTTTATCTTTTGACTTATGATGTTATCCAGTCGATTCTGTAAGACCTTTGGGCATGATTCTGTAAGACCTTCGGGTATGATTTCTAAAGACCTCCGGGCATGATTTCTAAAGACCTCCGGGCATAGTTTCGATTCGCGGTGTTATCCCAATCGATTTTTTATCTTTCGACTTGCGGTGTTATCCAGTCGATTCTATAAGACCTCCGGGCATAAATTGTAAGACCTTCGAGCATAAATTTGATTTACGATATTATTTTGATCGATTCATTATTTTTTGACTTACGGTGTCATCCCAATCGTTTTGTGTTTTTAAAAAAAAAACAAAAAAAATGATGATTTGGACAAAATTGTTATTTTTGTCTTTGCCCTATTTTTGATTCTCAGTAATGTGCAAAAAAGGACAGCTGTAGACACTAATTTTATCCGGATCTACTGTTTTAATTTTAATAATAATAATAATAATTTTAAAAAAATATATAATTATTAATTATATAAAAAAATATGAAAAGAAAAATAAAAAACAAAACAAAAAGAGAAAAAGTAAAAGTAGGGTGGCTGGCACTGCTGTCGCCCCCAACCAGCCACCCTACAACTCGACCAACCCTTTGTTAGCCTCATGACTAGCCCCCTGACCAGCTCCCTGTTCAGCCCACCTACAGCCACCCTATAGCCACCCAAATCCCTCTAATTGAAGCTCTTTAAAATCAACAACTCGAATCCCCTTCAATCTCTCTCTGGAACCCCCCTTTCGAAAGCTTTTTCGGACGCACAGCCCCCCCTCCTTTGAATAAGCTTTTGAATATCCAAAATCCTAGCCTCTCATACTCAGAAAAACCCAAACTTTTCACGAAACCTCTTACCCATCAGAAAACCAAACAAATACCCAAACCAAAGAAAACAAACAAAAAAAAAAACAACACAGTCTTCGCCTACGGCGAGGAACCATCAGCACCAAGCAAGCCTTGCAAAAACCAAAAAACAAAAAGTCAGTTTCTAAAAAAAAAAAAAACAGAAATCGAAAGCTTCAACCCCGATCTACGTCGATCGAGACTGTTTTTGGTAAAACAAACTTCGGATCTGAAAAGATCGCATCAAAAGTAACTTTCTGGTCACTTTTTAAAATTTTTGATCATCGATTATGGTGGACCAGGCGGCAGCCGACACAGTGCTCCTACGGTCGGACGGCAAGACGATCGGAGCTCTCCTCCTAGAACTCTCTCTCTCTCCTTTTTTTTTTGAAACAGAAAATAATGAACCAAAAAAAAAAGTTTAGCTATATATAGGAAAGCAAAACTCAAAACGATATCGTTTAGGGAAAAACTCAAAACAGCACCATTTTAACTAAGGAGGATTCGCGCGTGGACCCTAATCTGACCCGAGATCCGCACAAATCGACCCGCCAACCCGCTTGAGCCAACCTTGAACCGATCCAAAAGAACCATCAGTGAACCGGTCTGAACCGATCCAAACCACTGGATCACCCAAACCGCTGATTGAACCGTCGAACCGATCAGACCGACCCAGACTAACGTTGACCGAATCGTTGACCGGTCTAATTCAGGTAAAAAAAAAATTTTTTTTTGAATTTTTTTATATTATTATTTTTGTTATTTTAAGTATATTTTTATATTTATGCATGATAAATTTTTAAATTTGTTAGAATAAATGTTTGATTTTTTAATAATAATAAAATTAAAAAAAAGTAATAATTAAAAATATATATTAAAAATACTAAAAAAATTTAATAATTTTTATTATTTTCCCTATCTAGATGTTGAAGGAAATAAAAAAAATATTTTTTTAAAAAATAATTTTGCCTAGATGTTGGGGAATTATTATGAATAAATTTTTATAAAAAAATAAATATATGAGAAATTATTGATTATTTTTAAAAATGATAAAAAATTAAACTTGCTCCGAAAGTTCGCCTGAATGATAGAGATTTTTAGAGATGTTCGCGTTGTACTTAAACATTAAATACTAATTTTTAATTTTTAAAATCCTAAGTTTTTAAAACCCCCTAAAAATCCAAAATCCCTTAAATACAAATCTCCTAAAATCCGAAACCCCTAAAATCTAAACCCAAAAATTCAAAATCTCTAAAATTCAAACCCTTAAATCAAAATCCCAAACCTTAAAACCCAAACCCTAAAATCTCCAAACTCAAAACCCAAAACCCAAAACCTTTCATATCCTAAAATTCAAGCTTTAAGACCCTCTAAACTTTAAAACCAAACCTTCAAAATCTCTACTCAAGCCCTTACTCAAAACATGCTAAAATCCTAAAGACACGTGTGAAAATTTTATTTGAAGTAATTTATTCCCGAATGCTGCCTAGATGATGGAGTATTTAGAAAATTTTATTTCGTTAAGTATTTTCACACGATTTCTTAATTCGTATTAATAATAAGATTAATAAATAAAAAGTATAATAGTAAATTAGGATCTTAAATATAAACAGTCGCACCTAAGCTTTGCCTAGATGTTAGAGAGTTAGGGTGGTCTCATTATACTTAAGAATCCAACTTTTAAATTACATTTCATTTTACATAACATTCATTGACATACACACATTAACATGTTATTATTAGTATTTATTTGTACTATTCTGTCTTTAATTTTTATTTGTACTACTTTTTTAAAAAAATTATGATATTACAAAATAAAATAAAAATAACATTCCGAAAAAATAATTCTTGGTACTCTGCCTAGATGTTGGAGAGTCACCAACAATTTTTATAAAGAATGTTATTTCATTTTAGGGATTGATGTGTTAAATCTTAAGTGAAAAGAGTTATTTCAAATTCTGCCTAGATGTTAGAGAATTTCAAGATAATTCTTTAACTTAAAGATTTTCTCAATATTCCTAAATTAAAGTTTTAGCAAAAATATTTTTTTTAAATGAAGAAAATTAGTGTTAAATTTCAAATTAAAATCATTTTTATCAAACATTGAAAATAGTGCGTAATTAAATGGTATCAATTTATGGGCGTTATGAGGGTGCTAATCTTTTCCCACACGTAATCGACTCCCGGACCCAACCTGATTTTTCATAGATCAAAATTTATCTTTTTGATAAACTTTAAACCCGTTTTTATAGTTTTATTAAAATGATAAACTTTTGGATGGCCAATCACACCCTGACAAAGATTGGTGTCGACTCTTTCTTTTTATTTTTTTCGATTTTAAAATATTATATTTTACGTCTGACGGTCCTAAAACCGTTACGACAATATTCATTATCATAAATTTTTAAAAATAATAAATTTGTCATAAATATAAAATTACACTCATTATACTTAAAAGAAAAGAATTTATTTTTTTTCAATAAGATTTCAATCTTCAATCAAGTACTAAAAATATATTTTTTGAAATTTATTGTACTTAGATTTTTTTTTAATTTTGTGGCCGTTTTTAATTTTTTTGTTTAATAAAATCTTAAATGAACTAAATTAATTGTTTAGATTTTTTTAATTTTCTTGAAATATGTGTATCCACACATATACTGTAAACATAACTATGAAATTTGAAAATTTCAAATATACATAAAATAAAAGAAGTATATCCATATTAAATATGAATATATGTTCGACAATTATTTTAAAATTTAAATAACATAATAAATAAAAAATATATAATTTTAATTGATCTCTTTAAAATTAAATATTAAGATCCCGTACTGTTTTAATAAGTTAAGTATTGCTGCTAGCAACTAAATCACTTTAAGACACCTTTAAAACGAAAAGATCGAAATAAAGCTAATAAATGCAAATGAGTTATAAGTTGAGCTGTAGCATTTAATTCGTGATTGTGTAATTACTACTCAACGTGGTCATGCTCATTATCGAGGCAATTAATCATGGAACCAAGCAGCGCCGTGGTGTAGTGGGGACAAAAGCAATTAGCATTTTTCACCACTGGCTAGCTCGGCAGTTTGGTACATGCCTTCAGGATCCAACGGTATCGCAATTACCAATCCACATTCAAAGGCAAATGAACATAATTTCCATCTCAAAGGACCTAGCTGGCTTGAATTAAATATAGCCCTTATAATTGTACCTTCTATACAAAAGAAAAAACAAATGATGTATGTTTGAGATAATATTATAAACTTAGGCATGGGATCAGCAAATCCATAGGATAACACGAGAACAAAAGAGTGGGGAAAAACTTACATTAAACATTGCGTCACCAAAACTCAAACCCGAATCCGAAATGGTGAGTAATTTTTTCAGTCATGGATGAGGAAATGATCAAGAAAAAGAGCTGGGATTTCTTTTGGCAACCATTCTACTGATATTCTTCCAGGAAAACGATGTATTGTAAAGATTTGAGCATTGCATAATTAGAATAAAAATATTGCTGGCAATATGAATTAGTAATACTGTTTTTGAATGTCATTTTGTTGTTGTAATTCTGGTCCAAGGACTGGAGACAAACTCAGCCCATTGGCATTACAGGGTCAATCACATCATGGCTTATGATGAGTGATCAGAGAGAAAATTGCTCCTCCATAAATTGTACAGCAGCAAAACAACGACATTTGCGCTGAAAACAGGGAAACTGAGAAAAAATATAAACCCGGTCAACTTCTAAAGGGCTATCCTGGATTTCTCTTTTTTCAGATCCACCGTGCCATGCCCCATCTCAGACCAAATCTTTTGCACAAATTTCCTCATTGTTCTCTCACTCTCAACTACTCATTGTACATAATAAAGATAAAAATAACCAAATAAAATGCTTGCACAGGCAATATATCCGCCCCCCAAATGATTGGAGATAGAATAGATAAATACAGTTAACGACAACAAAGGTTGATCGGGTTGGCGAGTTTCAATATTTCATTTATAAAATTTTAGTTCAAGTTTTATTGTCAGTAATTTTTTATAAATAATTTATAAATTTACTATAAATTATTTTTAAAACTTATAATTTGCATTAATTCTGATAAAGATACCCTCTTTCTCAATTCATAAGAAAGTAGGCCAAAGGTTGACTTGTCATTACCAGTATTACTCAAAGCTTTGAAGTGAATTTAATCATATTTCCTATTAAAAATAAACAAAACAACCATCAATCTAATGGTATTATGTACCTGTTTAGAGGCAATTACAAGCTACTACAAAACAAATGTTTTCAATGCAAGCTGTAAAATTAACAAAATGGGCTAAGAAAATTTACTATTTCTACCATTTAACTGAACCAAATCCTAATTCCGCTGTTAAAGGGGGGAAAAAGCTAGCTGAAATCACTAAAACTACAAGATAAGCTTCCTATAAACTGTGATCAGAGTTCATCATTAGCCCTCCCTTTGGCCGCTACTAAGATCGAACGACTGAGATTTTCTATTACTTTTCACCCTCATCAAACCGTACAATTTCTTAAACTCCTTAACCGCATTTGCACCTTCCTTACAAAAGAGCCCGCTCGGTTCACCAATTTCCTCAACCAATTTCCTCGAACCATTCTCACACAACCGCCGTCCGATATTCAAAGCCCCCCTTCCATCGCCGTCCGTTTGCAAAGCATTGATAACCGATTTCAAAGCCCGGCTCGGCGAATTCCGGTTGGTAATCATTAACTCCCCAATCTCAGCCGGGCTTAAACTCGACCCGTTTTGGAAAATCTCCTCTACTTGTGGGAACAGCTTATGATCCTTGAGCCCTAGGTAACCATTGGCCAGCGTTTTAAAAGCGGTAAAATCACATAAAGGAAAATGTATATGAACATCGATTCTTCCCGGTCTAAGAACAGCCGGGTCAACGTGATCTTTGCCGTTCATTGTGAAGACCATAACTCTTTCGTTGGCGCAGCTGGAGCATGAAATCCCATCCATAAAATTTAAAATTCCTGATAAACTCACAGTCGTTGATTTCTCTGACAAATACCTGTCAAGATCCTCGATAACAATCACGGATTTGGCCGTGCTTTGTAACAAGAGAAATTTAAGGTCGGAATCATCTGAAACTTTGGACAAATCAATGTCGTAAACATCGTAACTCAAGAAATTAGCCATGGCAGCGACAAAGCTTGATTTTCCAGTACCCGAAGGACCGTAAAGGAGATAGCTTCGTTTCCAAACACGACCCAGCCTATGATAATACTGTTTGGCTTTGAGAAAAGAGTCAAGATCAGATTTGATTTTGTTCTTAAGGTCAGATTCCATAGCTATAGTTTCAAACGTTGAAGGGTGCGTAAATGGAACAGATCTCCACCGTCCCTTTTGATCATCGTGATGACTAACGACGTTCATGTAAAGCTTCAAGTCTCGTTTCTTCTGTTCGAATTCATCGAAAACTGTGTGGATATGTTGGAGATAAGGCCGAAGAACTCTTCGTTTATCGGCTTTCCGAATCTTTAACACCAAAGTTTTGTCTTCGTTGATCCAAAAAATCTTGGCACCCAAAAAATCGTCTTTGATTATTTGGTTAGGGTCGAGACGGATGACGATTTCATTTGGTTTTTTTCCGGTGAAGAGGTTGGTGAAATCCGAATCTTCAATGGAAGTGACAGAATTCAGATAAACCAAAACTTTGTAATAAAGTTGGTTTCTTTGCAGGCTTTCGTTGAATTCTGGGACTTTGAAGAATTGGTAGACATGGAAACAATCTTCGATAAATCGCCATTTTTTCTTGACAACATAAATCAAACCGGTTTTGATCAAAACAACCCGGAAAAGGAACAGGAAAATGAAAGTTATCAACAAGAGAAAAAATGGGTTATAAAGAATCGCCATGGCTTTTCAGAATCCAGAGCAGAAACCTAGAGGAGGAGGATTTTAAAGGGAATTTTTCTACTTCCAGGAAACAAAAACATGTTTTCTGGGGAAAAGGAAAGATAGGAAAACACGAAGTTAAGAAGGGGGGGGGGGGTTTAAAGATCCGTGAGGGAAAGATAAAAGATAAAAAATAAAAATTTTGGCGAGAGAGGACCACTCGCCGGCAAATCTGATGACTCAAAAGCGAAAGCAATGGGAGAAAGATTGCGTTTAAGAAGAAAAAACAGAGGGGAATGGGATTTCAATCGGAAGTTTGTTTAATCCAACTACTGTATTTGTAGGAATTTGGAATCGAGGATGGCGAGGAATTGGAATTCTCTTTTAGGGTCTCCTTAGACTTTAGTTGTAGGCTCAAGCCTACTTGTCAGCGACAACCAAAAAAAAAACAACGTGTAAATATATAACTCAACCACCAATTGCTTGGGTTGGCTTCTCCCAACACGATTTGGCCACGTAAAAAATATAGAATTGTTTTTGTTTTTGTTTTTTTGGCCTTTCGGTTGCCAAAATGCAAAATATAATTGACCAGTGTGTGATGCCACGATTTAATGATACCACGATAGCTTAGGCATGATTCGTTTTAATTATGAGGTATCTCCAATATATATATTTTTTGGATTAATATGATTTTATTTTGATATTTCTCAAGTTTTATAGCTAATACCCATCCACTTGGAATATTACATGTCTTTTGATAATTTTAATTAGGTTTTTTTTACTAAAGATGTCGTTTTTATTAAGTATTACAGGCAGTATATAATTTTCTAAACTCAACTTTTTTTTTCAACCACAATTTAGACCACCTAAATGGTGACATATGCTATGGTGGCTGCAAACTCCAAAAAAAGTATTATTCAAGCTAGGCTTTTTGAGAAGAATATCATATGACATTGGATATAATGAAAAATAGCATTTTATCATTCCATAAATTAACTTCTTACCTTATATATGAATACAAACTTTTTAATATAAAATTTCACACTATAAATATGAAGATATTTCTTGTGAGCTTGTTATTTAAATATATATATATATAATATTTACATGTGACACTCAAATTAAAGTATTTTTAAAATATAACTTTTTATAAAAAATTATAATTTGAGGATAAAAAAGCTTTTCGGATTAGGATTTAAGTATTAAATATATTAAATATTATTTTTAAAAATCATTTCAGTAATCAATTAAGCTAAAATTTTAATTAAAAATAGTTAATTTATTTAAAAAAATCTATCATGCAACATAAAAAAATATATATCTTCTAAATATAATTTATGACCACACGGGTGACGAAAGAGCATGTTCAAAAAGTTAAAATATTAGATTAGTCCAATATAAATATTAAACTAATTAAGCAAGCTAGCTTAAGAAACCTAATTTTATGTTTTTTTTTTATCAGAGCACTTTATTTTTTAGTAATTCAAATACATTGGAGGACTGAGGATTCCAATATTTCTCCATAATATTCCTTCCAAATACTCGAAAGACAAGACATTGATCATCTTTGCTTGGAATTTCTCCGTGTGGATTGATATCTTACATATACAGAGTTAGCCTACTCAATTGCTTGTCTAATTTGACGGATCATACTTCACCGACTAAAACTTTACCCCCCAAAAAAAGCATCAACTGTAAACGAACTGGCATCAAAGTATCAAACCAACAAGGAAAGTTACTTCAATTTTAAAAGTTTCAAAGTCTAAGAGGCAATAGTGGCCAAACTTAATTACCCCTATATTATATTTTCAAAAGGTCTTTATGAATTTCATCGCACCACAGTACAATTTAAATTATCATATTATCAATTAAATTTAACTATTAATTTTATTAAAATTTATTTAATATAAATTTTTTATGAATATTTTTAATCACAATTATAATTTTTTAATTACAATTATATTAATCTTTATTATTATTTTTAATTTTATCAAAATTAATTTCAACATCTATCGGAATGAACCTTAAATACTTATAATTAAACTTTATTATTATTATTATTTTTACAGTTAGTACTTTTTCCTTATGCGGAATAAGAATGATTTTATTTTTTATTTTTTATTTGAACTCTTCTTTCAGCTTTCTTATTTCTTAATAAAAACATTGTGTGGCTGGGATGGTCTAATAACCCATAAACTTTTGATTACTTTGCCTTTTGATTTTATTTTTATGCATGAAACCATAAAATATCGGGGAAAATGAACTTTTACAAGAGCAACTTTGTGGTAACATGATAAAACCTAAAAGGTAAAGCACTAAGCAATTTCTTTGTCTGAGCTTGAATTTCAAACTTCTTTATGCTCACGAAATTACCACGGCATTGCTTAGTTGAAATTTTGAAATAAATATATTCTCCATCAAGTTGTGAGATGTCAAACTCAATTTAACTTTGCTAGCTCCAATGAATTTCCTACTTGGTAGTTTTTGGACTTGCTTGTGCTTATTGTTGGGGCAAATACGGACAGCTCTTTTATGCATGTTGGGGCAAACTCTAAAAAATTACTAGTTTAATCCTGGAGATCGGTATGTATTAAAATATACATGTGTTCTTAATTAATATGAATATGGGTCAAAATATAATTGAAAATTAATTTGATATTAAACTTAATTTTCTCGATTGAAATGAAAACTAATATCTCGCTCTTCCCAACCTAATAGAAATTATACAGTCAAAATCGGTAGCCTAAACAATATCCAACTTTGCTTGTATTTTATAGACAAGCAACAGCTAACTTACCAGTTTTAGTTGATACGTCTTTTGCTAAAAACATCTGAGTCTTAACTGGACCATTGGGCTTGATAACTTTACTGTCAGGAGAGATGATCTGAACAATATGTACAGTGCATGCGACAATTCAATGGATACAAATCCCAAAACCTCTGGATTGAAATGTTTGAACCCTGTGACGTGACATCCAGCAGTTCTTGATCGATCACCATCCATAGGTTCCCTGGCTCTCACGGCCCATATGCTCGTCTCAATTTCATGCTGTCCACTCATGGGTTTTATGGGTTCAGGTAATTTCAGTCGGCAACACTATTTCTTCCATTATTGTTCTTTTTTCCCTAATCTTGTTATATCATGGCATGATTGTTCCTGTTGTAGGTTTTTTGTTGCTTCTTCAGTTCTTCCATTGTTGCAATAGATGTGGTTATGAACCAAACATGCAGACTAGAGGAAATAATTTGACATACTCTAAAGCTGAAAGTGAAATATGGCGAGAATGACAAGTTTTCAGATTTGAGATGGTTTTGGCTACGGGTCACCTAATATCATCGACCAACAAGGTAGAAACAAAAGAAAAGCAACAGGGCGCCCTCATCAACACATGATACGATCGGCAACCATTCTGCAATGTGGCAATATTTTGAATGTCTTACCAAAACAAAAATCCACTTAAACCTCAAGGAGACAAGAACATTACTGTCAAAACAAGACAACCAAATAATGTAAACTAACTAATTAGGAGAGGCTAGCTAATCTTAATTGGTACATTTTGTTTTTACATTTTTGTTTGGACATTGTGCTTGATTTTGATTGTTCAATTAATTAATAAATGGAATTGATTAGTAGTAATACATTATTACGAATTTTGATCAGTGTTGTTGTGTGTTTGTGTTAATAGACCAATTTTGCTTAAAATTCAACACATTCAAAATTTATATTTTAGTATTTATAATTATTTTCTTTATCTTAAACTACGACTTATTTTATATATAAAAAAATACACCAATTCTTTATCCGCTACTGCCAGAGTCATATTTTAATTAGTACTCTATGAGAAAGAAAGTGTGGAATATGCCTTTGACTGATTTATTTTTCCATTTAGAATTTAGCTGACTAAAACCAACCCTTTTTTTTGGCAGCCTGGCTAGGTAGGCCTAATAGTTTGAAACAAAGTATATTCGAAATGCTAGGTACAAACTGCAAAGTGCATGGAGTTGCGTTTAATTAATAAGTTGCTTTCAAATCGAAAAATAAACCACGGTGGCTAGTGCTTAAATATGGTCTGGTTGTTGTTATCTACACAACACTGCCGATTTCGACTGAAAAAAGGTGGAGAGCACATTGGCAACTTTTTTAGCCATCATCATAACATCACTCGAGAGGAAAATATAAAAATGGATGGATAATAGGCTTTCGGCCTGCTTGAGAAAACAAATCCGCTACCCCACAAGTCCTATTGTAGACGCACATGATGGGCCCAACCACATTAAAAATTACACTGCAGTTTGATGTTGCAACCTCTTACCGGCCCAACCTTCCAGTGCGCTCTAAAGTGGATTTTAGTCTTTGAAATTCTTTTTAGTAATTGTTTTGAAAATCCCGGGTTACATACAAGGGTTGTTGGCTCATTGGCTATATTTTGAAGAATCGGATTAAAACATTTTTTCTGGGTTTAGCGGCATTGGCTAAGTTTTCAAGATTCTCTAAAACATTTTCTTTATAGACCCTTTGGGAACAAATTTGATTCTTTGATTTTACCTCTTGCGAAGGATTACATGTAAAGATTTAAAAAAAAAAAAAAAGCAGGATGGAGGAAACAATTCATTATGAAAATCAGTAGTAACATGAATGACCCTGTAGAATTTTTCTACTATTATTTAGATATGATTTGATTCAACACTACAAAGATGATGGACGCTTTTCGTGATTAGCTCAAGGATGCGAGAGAATTCAAAAATTATTTTTTAAAATTTTAATTGTGATTATTTCACTTTTACATTTAATTCAAAATTATTTAATTCTTAAAAAAAATGTTAAATTTTTAATGATATTTAAAGTTTCGAAATTAAAATTTTATTTTTTTGTGATATTTTAAAATTTTAAACGAATTGTTATTTGACTTTTAAATTTGATTTAAATAATTTTTTTTATTCATATTATATTTTTAAAAAACAAATTTGAAATTAAAATTTATTTTAACTCAATTGTAACATTTTTTATTGAATAAATCACCGTAATTGATTCACTTTTAAATTCATTTTTCGATATTTTTTACAATAGACAATTACAACTATAGACACCAAATTTGTCTGGATTTTAATTAATAGTTCTTAGACTATCGAGTCGAGACCCGATTTTAATTCAACTAGGTTTCAAGCCCGATTTCAATTCAACTGGGCTAAAAGTCTGATTTTGATCGAGTCCAAAGCCCATTTTGTTCTTTAAACCCAGCCAGCCTCTTATGTTATTTGTTTTATTAAATTAAACAAAAATATAAAAATACAAAATACAAAAAAATAAAAAAAACAAAAAGAGGGAGCTAATGGCAGTGGTGCCTTGCACGGCACCACTAGCTACCCACGCCTCTGATCACCCATCTCTCTAGTCACCCATACCCTACAAATCTTATCCTA